ACCCGTCACTGACAAAACGCCGCACTTACAAAAAATGTGCACAAAGGAGAAAGACACGTGTTGTTCACTGGCTTCCACTAAGTCCAGAACAGTGCAAACAGATGTTGCAGATTACCCTGATCAGTTAACTGGGATAAACAAGTCGGCAATAAGAGAGGAACAAGGGGGAGTCCTTTTACCTCGCAGGGACCTTTTACCCCACCTTACCCTATATATATATATATATATATATATATATATATATATATATATGTGTGTGTGTGTGTGTGTGTGTGTGTGTGTGTGTGTGTGTGTGTGTTGTGTGTGTGTGTGTATGTGTGTGTGTGTGTGTGTGTGTGTGTGTATCTATATGCAAATATATATATATATATATATATATACATATATATATACATATATATATATATATATATATATATATATATTTGCATATAGATACACATACACACACACACACGCATACATACGTACATTCATACATACATACATACATACATACATATATATATATATTATATGTGTATATATATATATATATGTATACACACACACACACACACACACACACACACACACACACACACACACACACACACACACACACACATATATATATATATATACATATATATATATATATATATATATATATATATATATATATATATATATATATATAAATATATATATATATATATATGTATATATATATTGATAAGAGATAAAAGATTGTGCGGATAACGTCTATATCTAAACAACATTATGTACATAAATATGTTTCATATATCACAAGAAAATATAGGCAATAAACTAGATATACATATTTTGTAATACTGAACTATGCAATCTTTGAAAATGTATGTATTCGGAATATTTTGATGGCCGAGGGTTTGTAATAGTTTCTCAAGTGGTGAATATGTCATCACACACACACACACACACACACACACACACACACACACACACACACACACAGACACACACACACACACACACACACACACACACACACACATATATATATATATATATATATATATATATATATATATATATATATATATATATATATATATATATATATATATATATATATATATATATATATATGCGTGTGTGTGTGTGTATAAACATTTTTGTATGTATGTATAGACACACACACATGCACACAAATATATATGTATATGTATCTATCTATCTATCTAAATATGTATGTATATATATATATTTTTGTGTGTCTATACATACATAGATAAACTTTTTTTTTATCATATTCTAACAAAATTACCGCCGCGTTAGAATCAACCAATGAAAATGTCTTTCAAGCTGAGGATACTTTTCCGAAACAGTTTCGAAACTTTTTTCGAAACTTGGGCCAAAACTCGAGGCAAAGGTTTCGAAATCCATGTTCTCTCTCTCGTTATTGGTTATGTGTCTGTAACTCGTAAGTTTGTTTGTTTTTTTGTGATGACGAAAGAGCCAGAGCGTCATGGTGTTTTGCCATGAGTGCCCGCACCACAGAGTACCATGTAAACTCCAGGAAGGACCGGCCGACTTAGTACTGCGGTAAGTGGACAAGAGCAAGCGAAGTTAAATGACGCCAGCGCTGTTCCTACTGGTATACGTAGTTTTTATTTACTAATGCTCTGTATGTTGTTATGTGATGTAAATACTTACAATAGCTACATTAACGAAATTGTTCCGTATGAGACTGCATTTCATATATTTTATAGTGTCGAGGACTATAGGTACGGTCATCGTGACGTCACCAGAGCTGTCACGTGATCAGTCGGAGGCAGTGGTGGGCAAAAACAACAACAAAATCCTACGAACCTCCTTATAAAGTATTGGTCTGTCGCGAACATCGTCCCTTTTTTCTCGATTCATATAAGATTTGCATCTTTTTTCACCATTTTCTAAGAAACTTCGACATGACAAATAGTTGCAATATTATTGGATGTGGAAATGGACAGCAAAAAGATTCAACTTTGAGTTTTAATTGTTTTCCGAAAGATCCCGAGAGAAGGAGGTTTTGGCTATCAATCGCAAGAACTTTGATCCTACACCTGGGAGTGATGTAAGAGTTTTTGCTAATGGTACGTCCGATAGCTTTTCTATAAAGATATTCTAAAATTTAAACGGTTATGTTATATCGTCATAACTCTTTCTAGGGGATGCATTTCCCCGTGGTTAGGCCTAGGCCTAGGCGGTGGTAGATGTTGTGGGTGACTGGTTACTATTATCTTTCACTTTAAGTTTCAGTTAATTTGATTTTAAAACTTTCCCTTAACAAAGGTCGTAAGACAATAAATGGGAACAAAATGAGTTCAGGAGAAGTTAATCCTACGATTACGAACCAGTCTTATTATAAGCAGTATTGAGTACTTGTACCCTTCCAGAGATTTGTAGGCCTTTAATTCTTTTTATGTGTAAACACCAGGTGTTTGTATAAAGGTCGGTCAACCAAACAATTAGTATGGCCCAGCAAATACAGATAGCTGTATTCAGATTTTTTTCGTATGTTGACTACCAAATACTTACTCGAAAGCTTCGAGTGATTTGTAGGCTTTCAACTCCTCTTTTGTGTAATTACCTGGCGTGTGTAATAGGTACAGATAAATATCACCAAAACTAACATGGGCCAACCATTGGGGCCTTCAGACCAACCATCAGAGAGAGAGAAAGGACCTGGTAAGCTTTCTGTACCTTAAGTTTTTTAATCATGACGTTTTTAGCAATTAAACCGAGAGATGTGTAGTAGGTTGACATCGTTCTTACAGCTGATTCAGCGTCCATCGTTGATCTTTTGCCCACCAGTGCGCACTGCACACCCGAGATCTCGTCGAAAAGTGCCGTACTCCATACTGGTCCGGGAGGGTGGATACGTTAGATAGATATAGATATAGATATGTAGATAGATAGATATGTAGATAGATAGATAGATATGTAGATAGATATGTAGATAGATAGATATAGATATATAGATATGTAGATAGTAGATAGGATAGTAGATAGTAGATAGATAGATATGTAGATTGGTAGATATGTAGATGGATAGATATGTAGATATATATATATATATATATATATATATATATGTGTGTGTGTGTGTGTGTGTGTGTGTTGTGTGAGTATGTATGGATAGTAGATAGATATATGTAATAGATAGATATGTAGATAGATATGTAGATAGATAGATATATAATATATATATATATATATATATATATATATATATATATATATATATATATATATATGTGTGTGTGTGTGTGTGTAGATAGTAGATATATATATATATATATATATATAGATAGATAGATAGATTGATATATAGATAGATAGACATGTAGATAGATAAATGAATTAACAGATCGATAGGTAAATATTCATTTCCACATTTGTTTCCGAATGATGTAACGTAGTTCTCCCTTAAAATGGATAACATTGCGTCCAGAAAGAACGGGCTTGAACCTTTTGTCACAGTAACTTAGGAAAACGTATCAATTGTTATTATTTTTTTTTTTTTTTTTTCAAAAATGCTATATTTTTCAAGTATTTGTGAGGGAAGCAAATGAAACTTAAAGAACAGGTCAAGAATTTTATTTGCTAAAATGGAGCACTTATAATACTCCAAAATTCGGTAATTATTATTTCCACCATGTATTTATTGTCATGGTAACACAAGTTTGATGATCATGGTATAAACACAAATACTGGAAATAATCATAATCAACAGTATAATGATGTTAGCAGTAATTACAGCAAGGGTATTAATAAGTTAATCCAAACTATTCTAATTAAAGCTTCTGACAAAAAAGAGAACTATAAATAAGGCAATTGATAATACTGCTTATGTCAAAATTTATATTGATATCACGTATGTAACAGATGGTCAAGTATATAAACATTATAACAACAACAAAATCAATAAAAGTGGTTATAACAAGAGCACTGAAACCTTTATTACATTAATACTTATATTTTCTAACTATTGCACACACACACACACACATACACCCATAGATATACATATACAAACATACACACACACACATATATAAATGTATGTATGCATGTATGTACGTATAGCTCAACAATAAATATGAAAAATACATGAAAAACACTGCATGAGCTTACCTTTAAAGCAGGTGATAGCATCTAAATAACGAGAGAGATTCTGCCATCAGAACTGCAAAACAGATCGCATCATCCAAAAGAGAAGACATATTGGTATAGAGAAGACAGAGACAGAAGGGGGAGAGAGAGAAGAGAGAGAAAGAGAGAGAGAGAGAGATGCGATGAAGCAGGTATAGTTAAATGGAAATTGAGGACATGCACTGGTTCTGCTAGTATCTCGCCACATGGAGAGACAGAACAACCCTGTACGTTTTTTTTTTTTTTTTTTTTTTTCGGGACGTATTAGTACGAGAACAGAGCAGATTGATGTGACACCATGTGTTGTAAACTCAGTGATCAAAGTGCTTGTGCAAGTCAACAGTGGTGTCATTCTGGCCAACCAGAATATCTGTTTTTACATTAAAAATGGCCATTCTTTGCGAACGTTGCGACGCGTTGGTGGAATCTGCTCTTTTGAATGTTAAAATCTGTTCTTAATACAAGGTTCATGCTCATAACTAGCGGAAAATCCTTCAGCAAGATTTCAGTTCTCCATCCCGTGTTCATTCAGAGCTTTGTCCTCAGTCTCCTGGCTCTCCATACCAAGCCTCACTTCTCTGTGGATTGCGATCCTCGTACAGTTTGCAGAAGTGATGATAATTAACTAATAATTAAGTGACCGCGAGAGTGATCTGGCAGATTCCATAAGCCTAAAGTATGTACATTCAATGATTGTGAGTTTTCAACACAAGTATATCTATAGGAATGAAAATCATCTATCATGAATTACATTTCTGCTGATAGGAAATTCGTTAATTTAATTTTGATTCAACTATACATACATACAAACACACACACACACACACAAATTCTGAATCAACAAATTGTAGGGAAAAAATGAAAAAAAAAATCTTTGTAATATTCGTGTGCTTTCTTGCTCTACCCTCCGTCGTATTATTTACATGAATACACACAGAAATATAACTGAGTTGGACACCGGCGCGGTATCAAAAACTATCTCTACAGTCTGGGGAGACTGAAGGATTCTGAAAGAGTAGGAGGTTGGGTATCCTCAATATCCCTCAGGAATCTTTCCAGACTAAACTCGTTAAGATTCGTCTGGCCAAGGGCGTAAGGATTGCGTCCACGGTCCTCAGGTAAGTCTAGGTCTTCGGTCTCGTCGTCTGAGATGGTCACAGGATTCTGGACGCCCCACGGAGTCAGTTGGCGGGTGAAAGGGACGAGATTAGCTCTTGGTATAGATATTTCATACAGCGAGCCACTCTCTTCGGTATATGTATCAGAAACCTCTCCGGGTATCTGTTCTTCGAGATCCTGTTGACGGATAAGGTATCAGATTTAGTAAACAACGTACGGTCATTCTGCGGCTATCCGGCTAAGAGATGTGTTTAAATAATGCTTGCACGAAGGAGCATGTGAATCCAGAGGGAATAACAGTCTGCCTGATTTTTTTAATATGTTCTCACACTGTTAAAATGCGTGCTAGTCATTCAGCCATACGCAAGAACTCGAAGAATGAATTTATCTCCGTTTAGGCAAAGCAAAGCAGATCAATGTCTGTGTCCCTGGGTTTTAAGATAAAAAAAAAGAAAAAAAAAGAAAAAAACTCCCTTCTTTGGTTTACCTGCGAAGATGTCCTTTTTGTTTATACAAACCAAATCCTGATAAAATGAGACAGCTGGCAACAACTTTGACTCAATATTAATGTCATATCGTTAGGGTTACCGTTAGGAGCAGACCACCGCAATCAGGAAATATTCACTTCCATAATAAACGATAATAATTACATAAAAAAAGCTTGTGTGTGTGTGTGTGTGTGTGTGTGTGTGTGTGTGTGTGTGTGTGTGTGTGTGTGTGTGTGTGTGTGTGTGTGTGTGTGTGTGTGTGTGTGTGTGTGTGTGTGTGTGTGTGTGTGTGTTTGAAGATGAGAGAGAGAGAGAGAGAGACATACAGACAGACAGAGAGAGAGAGGGAGAGGTAGATAGATAGAGAGAGAGAGAGATGGAATTACACATACATAAACCCACCCACAAGCAATACGCACATGAACATAAAGAAATATAAATATATATAATATAAATGTAAAACTTAACGAAAAAAATCTTACCTGAACAGGGTGTTTCCGCTTGAAAACGAAAAAGAAGAAAAAGCAGCAGGTAGCTAAGATCGCGGCCAATATTAATCCAACAATTATTATAACCACGACTACATAAACGTTATCATCTGCCATGCCACCGGACGAATCTGTGGAAGAACTGGGGTATACCGCAGAAGTGGTTGAAAAGGGAGTACTTGAACTGAAATAAGCTGAATAAGTGGTCGAATCTAGGGGTGTTGTTATAAAGGTGAACGAAGTGGAAGAGTCCGTAGGGTATACAGTGAGAGTCGACAGAGCACTTGATCCGAAAGAAGTGTTTGCAATTGTTGAGGATATGGCGGGCTCGGTGGAAGAGCTAGATAAAGAGGAGGCTGCATAAGTAGAGCTGCTTTGGGAGGATTTTGAAGAGCTGGAGTAGATTGAAGACGTGGTTGTTTCCTTACTGGTGCTGGAGCTAGTTGGAGTAGCTGAATTCACAGAACTGGAAGAGTCCGTAGGGTATACAGGGAGAGTCGACAGAGCACTTGATCCGAAAGAAGTGTTTGCAATTGTGGAAGAGATAGATAAAGAGGAGCCTGCATAAGGAGAGCTGCTTTGGGAGGATTCTGAAGAGCTGGAGTAGATTGAAGAGGTGGTTGTTTCCTTACTGGTGCTGGAGCTAGCTGTAGTCGAATCCACAGAAGAATCAGTTGGTGAAGTGGTGGATTGGAAGGAAGACGTGGTTGAATGCGATGAGGAGCTTGGGGAAGTATAAATTGTGGGCTCCAAAGAGGAGCTGGAGGAGGAGTAGCCTGAAGAAGTGCTGGTGTAAGTTGAAGTAGTTTGTGAGCTTGAGTCCTCAGTGGTGGTAGTTGGAGAAGTGCTGGAATCCAAGGATGATGTGGAAAAGCTTGAAGAAGTGGTTGTGTCCGTAGTTGAAGAGGTACTTGATCCTATAGAGGAGCTGGTGTCTGTGGAAGAGCTGGAGCTGGAGTAGATTGAAGACATGGTTGTTTCCTCACTGGTGCTGGAGCTAGATGAAGCAGTTGAATCCAAAGAGGAATAAGTTGAAGTGGTGGCTTCGGAGGAGGACGTGGTTGAATCCGATGAGGAACTTGGATAAGTAGAAAAAGTGGGTTCAGAAGAGGGACTGGATGAGGAGTAGCCTGAAGAAGAGCTGGTGTAATTTGAAGAGGTTTGTGAGCCTATGGAAGAGCTTGAGTAAGAAGAGTCCTCAGTTCTGGTAGTTAGAGAAGTGGTTGAATTCAAGGATGATGTGGAAAAGCTTGAAGAAGTGGTTGTGTCCGTAGTTGAAGAGGTACTTGATCCTATAGAGGAGCTGGTGTCTGTGGAAGAGCTGATTGAAGACATGGTTGTTTCCTCACTGGTGCTGGAGCTAGATGAAGCAGTTGAATCCACAGAGGAATCAGTTGAAGTGGTGGCTTCGGAGTAGGACGTAGTTGAATCCGATGAGGAGCTTGTATAAGTAGAAAAAGTGGGTTCAGAAGAGGGACTGGATGAGGAGTAGCCTGAAGAAGAGCTAGTGTAAGTTGAAGAGGTTTGTGAGCCTATGGAAGAGCTTGAGTAAGTAGAGTCCTCAGTGGTGGTAGTTGGAGAAGTGGTTGAATTCAAGGATGATGTGGAAAAGTTTGAAGAAGTGGTTGTGTTTGTAGTTGAAGAGGTACTTGATCCTCTAGAGGAGCTGGTGTCTATGGAAGAGCTGGAGTTGGAGTAGATTGAAGACATGGTTGCTTCCTCACTGGTGCTGGAGCTAGTTGTAGTCGAATCCACAGAAGAATCAGTTGAAGTGGTGGATTTGAAGGAAGACGTGGTTGAATCCGATGAGGAGCTTGGGAAAGTAGAAGTTGTGGGCTTCAAAGAGGAGCTGGAGGAGGAGTAGCCTGAAGAAGAGCTAGTGTAATTTGAAGAAGTTTGTGAGCCTATGGAAGAGCTTGAGTAAGTAGAGTCCTCAGTGGTGGTAGTTGGAGAAGTGGTTGAATTCAAGGATGATGTGGAAAAGCTTGAAGAAGTGGTTGTGTTCGTAGTTGAAGAGGTACTTGATCCTATAGAGGAGCTGGTGTCTGGAGAAGAGCTGATTGAAGACATGGTTGTTTCCTCACTGGTTTTGGAGCTAGATGAAGCAGTTGAATCCACAGAGGAATCAGTTGAAGTGGTGGCTTCGGAGGAGGACGTGGTTGAATCCGATGAGGAGCTTGGGAAAGTAGAAGTTGTGGGCTTCAAAGAGGAGCTGGAGGAGGAGTAGCCTGAAGAAGAGCTGGTGTAAGTTGAAGAGGTTTGTGAGCCTATGGAAGAGCTTGAGTAAGTAGAATCCTCAGTGGTGGTAATTGAAGTGGTTGAATTCAAGGATGATGTGGAAAAGGTTGAAGAAGTGGTTGTGTCCGTAGTTGAAGAGGTACTTGATCCTCTAGAGGAGCTGGTGTCTATGGAAGAGCTGGAGTTGGAATAGATTGAAGACATGGTTGCTTCCTCACTGGTGCTGGAGCTAGCTGTAGTCGAATCCACAGAAGAATCAGTTGGAGAAGTGGATTGGAAGGAAGACGTAGTAGAATCCGATGAGAAGCTTGGGAAAGTAGAAGTGGTGGGCTCCAAAGAGGAGCTGGAGGAGTAGCCTGAAGAAGAGCTAGTGTAGCTAGAGGTTTGTGAGCCTATGGAAGAGCTTGAGTAAGTAAAGTCCTCAGTGGTGGTAGTTGGAGAAGTGGTTGAATTCAAGGATGATGTGGAAAAGGTTGAAGAAGTGGTTGTGTCTGTAGTTGAAGAGGTACTTGATCCTATAGAGGAACTGGTGTCTATGGAAGAGCTGGAGTTGGAGTAGATTGAAGACATAGTTCCTTCCTCACTGGTGCTGGAGCTAGCTATAGTCGAATCCACAGAAGAATCAGTTGGAGAAGTGGTGGATTGGAAGGAAGACGTAGTTGAATTCGATGAGGAGCTTGGGAAAGTAGAAGTTGTGGGCTCCAAAGAGGAGCTGGAGGAGTAGCCTGAAGAAGAGCTAGTGTAATTTGAAGAGGTTTGTGAGCCTATGGAAGAGCTTGAGTAAGTAGAGTCCTCAGTGTGGTAGTTGAAGAAGTGGTTGAATTCAAGGATGGTGTGGAAAAGCTTGAAGAAGTGTTGTGTTCGTAGTTGAAGAGGTACTTGATCCTATAGAGGAGCTGGTGTCTATGGAAGAGCTTGAGTTGGAGTAGATTGAAGAAGTGGTTGTTTCCTCAGTGGTGCTGGAGCTAGCTGTAGTCGAATCCACAGAAGAATCAGTTGGAGAAGTGGTGGATTGGAAGGAAGACGTGGTTGAATCCGATGAGGAGCTTGGGAAAGTAGAAGTGGTGGGCTCCAAAGAGGAGCTGGAGGAGTAGCCTGAAGAAGAGCTAGTGTAATTTGAAGAGGTTTGTGAGCCTATGGAAGAGCTTGAGTAAGTAGAGTCCTCAGTGATGGTAGTTGAAGAAGTGGTTGAATTCATGGATGGTGTGGGAAAGCTTGAAGAAGTGGTTGTGTTCGTAGTTGAAGAGGTACTTGATCCTATAGAGGAGCTGGTGTCTATGGAAGAGCTTGAGTTGGAGTAGATTGAAGAAGTGGTTGTTTCCTCAGTGGTGCTGGAGCTAGCTGTAGTCGAATCCACAGAAGAATCAGTTGGAGAAGTGGTGGATTGGAAGGAAGACGTGGTTGAATCCGATGAGGAGCTTGGGAAAGTAGAAGTTGTGGGTTCCAAAGAGGAGCTGGAGGAGGAGTAGCCTGAAGAAGAGCTAGTGTAATTTGAAGAGGTTTGTGAGCCTATGGAAGAGCTTGAGTAAGTAGAGTCCTCAGTGGTGGTAGTTGGAGAAGTGGTTGAATTCAAGGATGATGTGGAAAAGGTTGAAGAAGTGGTTGTGTTTGTAGTTGAAGAGGTACTTGATCCTATAGATGAGCTGGTGTCTGGAGAAGAGCTGATTGAAGACATGGTTGTTTCCTCACTGGTGTTGGAGCTAGATGAAGCAGTTGAATCCACAGAGGAATCAGTTGAAGTGGTGGCTTCGGAGGAGGAAATGGTTGAATCTGATGAGGAGCTTGGGGAAGTAGAAATTGTGGGCTCCAAAGAGGAGCTGGAGGAGGAGTAGCCTGAAGAAGAGCTGGTGTAAGTTGAAGAGGTTTGTGAGCCTATGGAAGAGCTTGAGTAAGTAGAGTCCTCAGTGGTGGTAGTTGGAGAAGTGGTTGAATTCAAGGATGACGTGGAAAAGGTTGAAGAAGTGGTTGTGTCCGTAATTGTAAAGGTACTTGATCCTATAGAGGAGCTGGTGTCTGGAGAAGAGCTGATTGAAGACATGGTTGTTTCCTCACTGGTTTTGGAGCTAGATGAAGCAGTTGAATCCACAGAGGAATCAGTTGAAGTGGTGGCTTTGGAGGAGAACGTGGTTGAATCCGATGAGGAGCTTGGGAAAGTAGAAGTGGTGGGCTCCAAAGAGGAGCTGGAGGAGTAGCCTGAAGAAGAGCTGGTGTAGCTAGAGGTTTGTGAGCCTATGGAAGAGCTTGAGTAAGTAAAGTCCTCAGTGGTGGTAGTTGGAGAAGTGGTTGAATTCAAGGATGATGTGGAAAAGGTTGAAGAAGTGGTTGTGTCTGTAGTTGAAGAGGTACTTGATCCTATAGAGGAACTGGTGTCTATGGAAGAGCTGGAGTTGGAGTAGATTGAAGACATAGTTCCTTCCTCACTGGTGCTGGAGCTAGCTGTAGTCGAATCCACAGAAGAATCAGTTGGAGAAGTGGTGGATTGGAAGGAAGACGTAGTTGAATTCGATGAGGAGCTTGGGAAAGTAGAAGTTGTGGGCTCCAAAGAGGAGCTGGAGGAGGAGTAGCCTGAAGAAGAGCTAGTGTAATTTGAAGAGGTTTGTGAGCCTATGGAAGAGCTTGAGTAAGTAGAGTCCTCAGTGATGGTAGTTGAAGAAGTGGTTGAATTCATGGATGGTGTGGGAAAGCTTGAAGAAGTGGTTGTGTTCGTAGTTGAAGAGGTACTTGATCTCATAGAGGAGCTGGTGTCTATGGAAGAGCTTGAGTTGGAGTAGATTGAAGAAGTGGTTGTTTCCTCAGTGGTGCTGGAGCTAGCTGTAGTCGAATTAGTTGAAGAGGTACTTGATCCTATAGATGAGCTGGTGTCTGGAGAAGAGCTGATTGAATACATGGTTGTTTCCTCACTGGTGTTGGAGCTAGATGAAGCAGTTGAATCCACAGAGGAATCAGTTGAAGTGGTGGCTTCGGAGGAGGAAATGGTTGAATCTGATGAGGAGCTTGGGGAAGTAGAAATTGTGGGCTCCAAAGAGGAGCTGGATGAGGCGTAGCCTGAAGAAGAGCTGGTGTAAGTTGAAGAGGTTTGTGAGCCTATGGAAGAGCTTGAGTAAGTAGAGTCCTCAGTGGTGGTAGTTGGAGAAGTGGTTGAATTCAAGGATGACGTGGAAAAGGTTGAAGAAGTGGTTGTGTCCGACGTTGAAGAAGTACTTGATCCCATAGAAGAGCTGGTGTCTATGGAAGAGCTGGAGTTGGAGTAGATTGAAGACATGGTTGCTTCCTCACTGGTGCTGGAGCTAGTTGTAGTCGAATCCACAGAAGAATCAGTTGGAGAAGTGGTGGATTGGAAGGAAGACATGGTTGAATCTGATGAGGAGCTTGGGAAAGTAGAAGTTGTGGGCCCCAAAGAGGAGCTGGAGGAGTAACCTGAAGAAGAGCTAGTGTAATTTGAAGAGGTTTGTGAGCCTATGGAAGAGCTTGAGTAAGTAAAGTCCTCAGTGGTGGTAGTTGGAGTAGTGGTTGAATTCAAGGATGGTGTGGAAAAGGTTGAAGAAGTGGTTGTGTTCGTAGTTGAAGAGGTACTTGATCCTATAGAGAAGCTGGTATCTGGAGAAGAGCTGATTGAAGACATGGTTGTTTCCTCACTGGTGTTGAAGCTAGATGAAGCAGTTGAATCCACAGAGGAATCAGTTGAAGTGGTGGCTTCGAAGGAGGACGTGGTTGAATCTGATGAGGAGCTTCGATAAGTAGAAGAAGTGTTGGGTTCAGAAGAGGGGCTGGAGGAGAAGTAGCCTGAAGAAGAGCTGGTGTAAGTTGAAGAGGTTTGTGAGCTTGAGTCAGTAGAATGGTCAGTGGTGGTAGTTGGAGAAGTGCTGGAATCCAAGGATGATGTGGAAAAGGTTGAAGAAGTGGTTGTGTCCGACGTTGAAGAGGTACTTGATCCTATAGAGGAGCTGGTGTCTGTGGAAGAGCTGATTGAAGACATGGTTGTTTCCTCACTGGTGCTGGAGCTAGATGAAGCAGTTGAAGTGTGGCTTCGGAAGGAGGAGGTGGTTGAATCGATGAGGAGCTTGGATAAGTAGAAGAAGTGGTGGGTTCGGAAGAGAACTGGATGAGGAGTAGCCGAAGAAGAGCTGGTGTAAGTTGAAGAGGTTTGTGAGCTTGCAGTCAGGTAGAACGTCAGTGGGTGTAGTGGAGAAGGGGGAATCCAAGTGAGTGCATGTGCGAAAAAGATGAAGAAGTAGTTGTGTTCCGACGTTAAGAGGCGGGGGGTGCAGGAAGATATTATATAGTATATTATAGTATATTATATATGTAGATTTACATATATTTTAGGTATTGTGAAGATCATTACAT